AGAGAGAGAGAGAGAAAATGAGGGATGAAAGGCGTGAGATGATGAAGGGGGAAATGAAGGTGATGGAGGAACGAGAGCGTAGAGAGAGAGAGAGAGAGACAGGAGAGAGAGTTGGTGAAAGATAGAATAAAAGATCAAGGTGGAAAAGGACAGGATGGGGAGCCACAGGGGGAGAATTGACAGAGAGGAAGCAAAATGGAATAAAGTGAATAAATAATGCTCGCTGGAGTGTGGTAAAAAAAAAAAAAAAGTGATAAAGGAGGGGGATCACACCAAGAGACTATAAAGCAGAGGATGCACAGGGCGATGACAGTAATCAGACTTAGAGGAGGCAATTAAGCAATCGGGAAACAAAGTGAGTGGTCACAGTGTCCTTAGAAACAGATCTCTGCCACTGATTGCAGCCCCAAAGTTAAAGGTAGCAGACATCACATATTTCCATTTATTATTCATGACCTTGAATTATGACGTTCCCTGTAGCTTTTCAAAATCAGAGATTAATTAGAGAGTATCTTTTATAATCTGTGTTTTATTTATTTATTTATTTATTTTTAGACGTATATATCACTTTCAGTCTGTGATTTACTAAAAAGCAGTTGGGATGCTGAAAACTTTGACGCTCTCTACCTCAGAAAAGGCCTGATAGCAGAAGGAACCTCATAGTTCAAGGCTCATGTTTAGCGTAGCTTGCAAGCTAATCGACATGTTTAAATGTTCATTCCCTTTGAGTTAATCACTGGTGAAGCAGGACACTGGTCTGAGGTCAGTTTTAACCTCCATATTTGTTTTGCTGATGTTATTTCAGGAGGACCAAGCTGACCAGAGACCTGTGCCTGAGCGAGGCGGGTGGGCAGAGCAGGCTGGGACTTGCCTCCCACGGGGGCAGCGAAACAGGTGGCCACTCCCACGGCACACGCACACACCAACAGGTCCTGGTTATGGGTGCCATTCTGGGGTTAAGGGTCATGGGTGGAAATGGACAGGGAGGAAGGGGGGGGGGGGGCACACAGATACAGACAAGCAGGGATGAATGAGAAAGTCAAAGGGAGGAGGAGACAGAGAGAGAGCAGGGGGAAGGGGGAGACAGGGATATGGGAGGTCACTGTTAATACACATGCCAGACATTACCATCACACTATTAATACTGTGAGACACAAACACAGGCGAGGTGCGAGGGAGCGAGCCAAAACAAAGACACAAGAGAAACTGGGTGGGGAGGGGAGGGTGTGAGCTGGGCGGGAGAGAGACAGATGGGAGAGAACAACAGGCACAGGGTTCCCACTTTCTCTTCAGCATCAAATTCAAAGACCTTTCAATGAATCTCAAGGACTCAAAATTGGCACATTTGGCAAAAACTCAAACACCGCAGGGGCCTCGTGTAATTTAAGACCTTGCCAAGTAGAAAGTGCTGATAGAACTGACGGAGCAGGAATGGCATTTTCAAGGTCACCCAGTCATTTTCAAAACAAGTCTATAAACTTTGATTTGATGATGGCGATAAATGAAAAGTCAGGGGATCACCAAAGTTAATATAATTCACCCTGAGGGGGGCATGAATGTGTATGTGCAAAGTTTCATGGCAACACATCCAATAGTTATTGAGATATTTCACTCAAAACTACAAATGTGAAAGGAAAGTCAGAGGATAACTGAAGTAATTAGGATACATCCTTTTGGGACAATGACATCTAAACTAAATTTTATGGAAATCTATCCACTGACCATTGTCGAGGTGTCTGAGTCTGGACCACAGTTTTGAACCAACTGACCGACTAACAGACATTGTCATCCCTTGATACTAGATCGGAAAAAAAAATCACAACAATTAATTTTGCCCAAATCTGGAGATAAAGATCTTTAGAGCCTGTGGGAACCCTGTAATTACCACAAAGACGAAGCAAGTTATGACGGAAAAACTGTATTCCACATTCAGTAGTGCATTAACTGTGAACTGTGAATGAGGCTTATGGGTAATGTAGTCTTCTTTTTGGTCAGGGCCTCAGCTTACCTCATAGACTCCGGAGAAGATGGACATGAATCGACTCAGCACTGCGGCGCAGATACTGGCGATGTGGACAAATGGACCCTGGAGGTGATGGGAGGAAATCATTGACACAGATGAGCGACATGTAATGTTATCTACACAAACACTGACCATTGTCTGTAAAACACAGAGTCTAAACTGGGACATGTTGTATCAGAGCAGATAAATCACCGGATAAACGCTGGATGTGACAGTTGCCCTGTTACTGAAATAGGGAAAATGAATGTACTCCTTTGCTCAGGACTTGAATAATTTGCCTCTGTCCCGTGAGAGGAGGGAGAGAGGAAAAACATGACAGAGGATGATTTATTATCCTCCGAGCTCGGAGATAGAAGAGATAGAGTGATGGAGAAATAAAAGAAGAGAGGAAGGAAATGATGAGGATGGTGACGCTGGATCAATCGATGGTGATAGATACAGAAAAAGACGGACAGTAATGAGATGAAAAGGTGGGTTTGTTTACCTCTTTGCCCACTGGCATCCCACTGCCCAGGCCAGCAGTCAGGCCGACGACTTTAGCTATGAAGGCTTTCAGGGTCAGATATTCCTTCAGGACGACACCTCTAAGGATGGTTTTCAGCTCAGGGATACCAGAACCTGTACGACAGAAAAGAAAAAAAAAAAAACACAGGAGGGATAGAGAGGGACACTAAACATCTGAGTGGGAGGAAAGAGAAGTTAAAATGCTGCTATCCTTTAAGAGGAAAACAGAGGCGGAAACAGGAAAAATCAGTCGTTGGAGAGGATAAGAGAGGCTGACAGGTGAAGGAGAGCTTACCGATGGCCTGCGGGGAAACCAGGTGACAGAAGAGCGAGGCGAACATGACAAGGATCATAGGATACGAAACCCAGGCGAGGTACTGGAGCGGCACATTGCCCTTAAGCTCCCCATGCATCCACTTGTAGGCTGAAAGAGAGAAAAATAACGACTGTAATATAAAGACAAAAAAGTGCATTTCACACAGGAGTTTAAATGGAGTAATTATCAAGAGCAGAAACTAAAACCCTGTGTTATCAAAGAGTGAGTTTGACAGGAGTAATCCCTACGACCTTGGCCTGTGATACCTTGCAGGCTCTTGGCACTGGCGTAGTCCATACTCCAGCTGACCAGAGCCATAGTCAGTCCCAGAAGAACTAGGAAAATCCAGTCCTCCCCCATCTTGGTCACTATGTACCGCCGCACACGAGCCAAACAATCTGGGACAGAGAGATAAAATTAATGATTCACCTTGAAGCAATTTATCACTTGATTTAATCACTGACAGTTAGCTATTGTAACAATGCCTGAGAGGGAATCATTCAGTGTGATTACGAGCGCAGTTATGATGTAGCTCAGCACAGAAATACCTGTAATGTCAGTACAGAATGAGCTTAATGGTTTGTGGTGTTCTGACATTTACAAGTGGATGTGTGTATGCTGTCTGGAAGATGTTTTTTTTTATTAACACATACAAAGGAATATAGGACACAATGCAAAAATCACTGGCTAGTTCCACAGGCAATTGCCTGAGTTTTTAACACAGGTTTTCTGTTAAAATTTATAGCCTCCAAGCAGAAGATGAGAGATTTTGAAAAGGAGCTTCTTTAGTGAGCAAAATTACCGAAGCGATGTCGTTGGAGTAGTTTTCTGGGACGTAACAGCGCTCCCTCCAGAGTCACAAAAGACATTACACAACTGTTTTCTCCTGCACAGGCCGAGCAGAAACCCCAGTGACTAGTAAATTGACTTTGACATGTACAATCAGTCGAGTACCCCTTTAAGTAACTCTTGTACAACACAATGTCGTCCCCCTTTTAAATGAAGGGTGGGATTAAAATAGCGACAAAATGGCGTGACAGTAAAACAAGAGTCCAAAACACCACAAGCACAACGTCCTCAAAAACGACCAGTTAACAGCGGTAAGTAAGAGAACTCAGTCTACAGACCAGCCCTTTTCCACAGTGTTAACTTATTGATGCATTAATGTAGATGGTGAATGTTTTATGGTTGGTAGTCAAAGCACGGCCCTAACTAATTACCACTGAGGGCACCAAGGTCGGTGGTGGAGGAAGTAGTCCGATCTTCTACTTAAGTAAAAAGAAGCGATACAACACTAATTAAAACATTAAAAGTTAAAGTTCTGCATTGAAAGTGTTACTTTATATGTAGGTATTATTTGGAAAAAAATGGGCGATGCATCACAAAAGTACTCAGTGCAGTGTTATATAATTCAATTTATAACTGATGCAGCATTTTAATGTTGTGTTTGGACAGTGTGGAGGTCATTTCTTATATTTATATTTTATAATCTTATACGTTTTATGTAAAATCTTATTCTGAAAAGTAACTATGGCTATCAAATAACTGCAGTGCAGTAAAAAACTACATCATTTCCCTCTAAAATGTAGTGAAGTCGAAGTATAAACTAGCTTGAAATAAAAATACTCAAGTAAAGTAAAAGTACCTTAAATTTGTACTTGAGTAAAAGTGCTTAGCAACATTTCACCACTGACTGAGGTGATGTACTGTGTTTGTGCTTGTGGGAATTTAGTTCTATAATTAAAACACATTCTGGGAATTTTATGTGCTGACTCCAGTAGGTTTTAGACTCAGTATATTCAAATTTGGTCACTAATAGGCTGACAAAAATAAAGAGATAAATATTAAGCTTTCAGTATTTTTCTACTGGATTGGATGTGTTTGAGACAGCAATTAGACGTTTGTGTTAGGAAACAAGACGTAATACATAATTAAAGAGAAGATTAATAAATAAATAAATATCCTAGATAAAATATGAGGTATCTAAATAACAAATTTCAGTGATGCTTGCTCGTTATGTGTGGGTGGGGTACATGACCTCAGTACGTCTAAAACCCTGACTCCCAGGTGGGGCTAAGTCTAACCCCTTCATGTTCTGTGCGGCAGCCTTATAAAACTATCGCAGCACATCTGATTTTATGAGCTTATCATGTTGCATGTAAAGTCATAATCTGTAAAGTAACCGGTAACTGAAGCCACCGGACAAACGTTGCTCTCTCTGCAGAGTAGAGCAAGTTTCCCGAAAAAAACAAAGTGTAGTGCTTGTAGCTCAAAATTGTATCTAGTTAAAGGTAATTTGTTAATTTCCACCTCTTTTACCTGGTTACCACATGGGGTGTCATGGCAACCAAAGCATGACCATGGTAACCCGTCACCACAGTTTGCACCCTCCAAGACAACCTTTTGTTTGGCACCTGAACGTTTCTGAATGATAACGTTAATTGTCATAACTCCACATCCCTGCTGGTCACCTTGGCATTTGGAGTAGGGTCGAGGCTTCTTGGTTGATGAGCCGTGGCTGTGATGCGAGTCCACAGAGTGATGATGATGATGATGATGATGATGATGATGATGATGATGCCGCCGGCCGTGACCTTTGCGGCCTGAGGCTGTGGTGTTGTCCCCTGCCTGTCTCCTCCATTGTCTCTCTGTTAGCAAACGGGCTGCTTCCCGTCGGGCAAAGTTCCCCAGCTGCTCCCTGTACTCTCCGTACAGCTGTAAACAGGGGGAAACACTGACAATGAGCTATGGAACAAAAAGCACCAAATCAAGAAATCATATGTTTGTTGGACCACTTCAGAGAGGAGACAGGAAAGGAAGGAGAGGAGGGAAGAGAAGGAGAAATACCTTTGACAACTGAGACTTGGGTGAAGGATAAAACTAGATCCAGAGTCTTGAGATAACAAGAAAGATATAGGGGGAGTGCGGCGTGTGTGTAAGGGATACACACCAACCTGAATACCCTGGCAGACAGAAATAGACAAAACGGGCATAGAGATCGGAAAATCCCCTCCCTGAGAGGAGGAAGGGGCTGGAGAGGAGCCAGAGGAAGAGATCCTGGAAGAGAGGACATTCCACATCTTCCCCTTCCGACTACATGCGCACTTTACACCTACAACTACAGAGACATGCACACCCACAATGATACGCACGCACACACACACACACACAGTTGTGCAAATACTTGGTCAGAAAACACGACACGACCTTGTGAGCCAGTGTGATCAGTTTGCACTGCACTCAGGCTGTAAAATACTGCAGATCCAGGTGCGGCTACGATGTGCAACTGAAACCTACAGATCACATGCATCCCAGCTTACAGCAAAGCAAGATGCTAAATCACAGAGAGGGCTGGCTGCCACACATTTCTGTCTCATGTTCACACAGGGAAGGAGAGCTGACACATCCAACCGTGAGGCCCCTACCAGGAGGAAAGCTCAACTAACTAACGTTCGCCAATAATAATATAAAGTGCAACAACAATATGCAAACGTATCAAACTTAACAGCGACTGCACGACAAGGACAAGTTGCTTAAATCTGTCTTTTGGTGAAACTCTCTTCAGTTTTAAGTCCACAAAAACCGCCATACACAAACAGTCCACTGTAATACATGAGTCACTACGACCACATGACAAAGTGACTGATATAGAAGTTTATAATTAATACATGAATACACCACATAGCAGGTGGCCACACAGTTACACTGTTAAAGGCTCTTGAGAACTTTTGATGCCCCTAAATCGTCCATCAGGTTATTTTAAACCTCAGTAAACACTACGAACCGCAAACCATTAAGTGTGTGTTGCATTACTCTTGTACTGATGCTGTAAAATCTGAGATAACAGTTGGCCAGTGATGAGCTATAGTGGGGAATGCAAACCACTATTGTCTATTTGAATCATTTGGTATTATGCTGGTTAGAGCCGGTTGAATATTACTCTCATAAATCATCTGTTGGTTTTAGTTTGGTTTGCTGCTACAAAGGACAAGACACAACCTGAGTTAGCCAACCATCATCATCCTTTGATTTTTGCAAGTGATTCTTGCCGTCAATTATTTAACCAAACATATTGTCTTTTTTTTTTGTCTCATGTAAAGGCACACAGGATAATATGTGAATTATCAAGGTTTCAATCTCTTATTATCACTGCTTTTAACATTACCTGAATCATTTGAATGTAATCTCACATAAACCCTCTTATCTGCCCCAAAACAGTGGGAACCCACGCATATAATTTCAATTTGAGCTGTGACTCAGATTTTAAATGATTTAAAAAAAAAAAAAATACAAAAAGCGTATGACCAACAATAGAAAACAACACGTTATGTAATATCTTACTAGTAAAGAGAAAAAAAAAGTGAGAGAAATGATTATAAAACAGAGTGCTGGTTTAAAACTGTGCACTATAGTCACACTGCATATAGTTGCATAAACAAACCATTAAAGCTCTTAGTGGAAAAAATGTAATCAAAACATGTGAAAAGATACAGCAAATAACTTCTGGAGCTTAAAGAAAAAAGCCTGGAGTTTTTCATTAAGTTTGGCAGCTAAAAAAATAAAATAAAAAATGAACCCGACCAGATGGAGCCTTTGGTCGTCCTGTCTTTACCTGGTCCTCATCAGTTGTCTTCAGCATAATGCAGCAGCAGCTCTGTCCCTGTTCTGTCTCCTGTGCTACTCTGCAGACACCCTCTACACCACCACCACCACCACCACCACCACCACCACCACCGCTGCACTACACATTAACACCAAAGAACTAATCCATCAACATCACCCAACAGGCGCTGGCACCAGACGCCATCAAAACCAGCTACAGTACCAGAGACACCTGTGCACTGTTCACAGAGAGTGAAAGATCTGTTGTTTTATCTTTTACCTCCAAGCTCTTTGTCAAGTTTTCAAATGTCATCATTTTCTATTAAACATCTTCTTTCTGTTGTAGATGACTTGTTCTTGAAATGCTGTATTTTACTGACAGTGTCTTAGAGAAGCTGTTACAGTGGATACGTATTGTGTTTGTTACTTACCTCTCAGATATTTTGAATCACAAAACGTGTTGCCTGTGACGAGGGAATAGCATAACTGTATGTAATCTTCAACCTAATGCTGTTGCTTCGTCACGCATAGTTATATTGTACGTTAAAATTTTCTTTGTATGTCAATAAACATTAACTAAATAACTATTAAACTAACTGAGTTAAACAGAGCTCATGGGCACTATTTCATATGGGAAAATGAATGGGAATCATTTATGAATGAGCCCCATTAAGGTGAGGCAACATTTTGATGAAGACCCTCATTTCCGCTTAAATACAGAATGTACCTGAATGATTTATTCAATGATGAATCAGCATGTTTTTCATTTTTAAATGAATAGTCCTGTATAATCCATCTGCTCTCAGCCTCCCCTCAAAACCCCTAACTTTTAAGTTTAATTCATTCCATTGACTTGATTAATTGTAAAAACTATGACATTAATTGAAAGTTGCAGGTTTAGTTGCAATCCTGATAAAATGCCAATAAATACTAATAAAGTCTAAATGGAAATAAGCTGAAACAGTGAAACAGAGATAAAAAAAAAAAAGAAAAGACAAAGGTCTGACAGCGTGAGAGAGACACTGCCAGCTGACTTTATTCAGTCTCCATCTCTCAACCCCGTGTTTACCCGTGTGTCACCATCTAACCTTGTACTGCGTCCGTCTGAGCCGCACAGGGCCCAGAAATGACACCAGTAACCACCATTTGCACAACTTTCACACGCTCTGAACATAGTTGCCGCCATCTTTCTGCTCTCTAACTGTCCATCCAATGACCTTCCCACACCAAGTCAAGAACACCAGAGGACATACAGTACCCCCCCCCCCCCCCCCCCCCCCCCCCCACACACACACACACCTCTCTCCTCTTCCTCCTCCACCCGCACTAATTTACTCACAGCAAGGTTCCCTCTACCTTCCCTCGTGGCTCTTATTATTTTCCTGCCCTTTTTTCTCTCTGATCTCTCTAAAACACATGAAAGTAAGTCAGGCGTTACAGCACAGCTCTGACACTCGCACCCCTCCTTATTAGTTTTTTGTGCTCTACTGTAAGAACTCGAGCTTTTACTGCTGTTCTTATTGCAGGTCTCACGGGATGAAGAAAATGGATGCAAACCATTCCTTCCCTGGCTTTGTTAGGAATACAAAGCCTGTGTTACATTTTGCCAGTGAGCTGTCAGGAGCTTTGAATTCATTTATGGATCTGCCTTTTATGAGCTGGCTTTAACAAGGTAATCCGTACTGTAAAAGCACAAGAAAGAGGGAAGAGGCAACTTCAAGTGTAAACAAAAAGCAGAAACAGGCTTGTTGAAAGAAAGAGAGGGGGAGAGAGGGAGGGAGAGAGAGCTTAAGTCATAGTGAGAGCTGCTAATAGATACAGAGGTTGGAGGGCAGTGTGACATTGAGAGTTAATTAAAAAAATAATAGCACATTCCTGCGTCCCTTATGACAGAGAGTCAGCGCTGCATATTCATATATATCTGTGTGTTTGTGTGGCTTCTTAAGCATGCAAAGTTTATGTTTACAAGTGTGTATAAATGGAAGCCTCTCTGTGTGTGTGTGTGTGTGTGTGTGTGTGTGTGTGTGTGTGTGTTGAGGCTATACAACAATATAGTCCTGTCCTTTAGCACAAGGTTAATGATAAAATCTGACCCGTTCACTGACGGATAGATCAGGAGATTACCCCCCCTTCTCTCTCTCTCTTTCACACACACACACACACACACACACACACACACACAACCCACACAAAATTCCACAGACCCACATTCCAGAAGCGCATGTCTCCATATGCATACACTAATTAACCAGCACAATAACATTTCCATGCCTCGTCCAAACACTGTTCAAGCTGTCATGTTCTAATTAAGGCATGTCGGCGCAGCCAAAGGAGAAAAATAAACCAAACTGTAAACTTCCAATGTGTTATGTATGAGCCTGCAGTTCAACTTCACACCAAGTAATCCAGGAAAAATCAACCGTGGAGGCCTTTTTATCCTCTGTAAAGCTGGTTTACATTTAATTTGGCCTCGCCGCAGCGTGAAATTTAAAATGTAAAATCAACAAACAAGCAAGAAGCAGTACAAACGCTGCCTTTCTCTACCTCTCACTTAAGTCATTAACGCATCAGTCCTTGCAAAAAAACTGTTCCAACTTCAGGAAGACATTTCAATGTACAAATGAGTTAACCTTACCAGAAACTGATCTATATTCAGAACTGTCTCAAAAGTGTTGATCCGCTCCCTCATCTTGTTAGCTGTTCCTCCTGCAGGTCGCTGCTCGCTCTCTTTTCTTGTCTCTAATATACTGAAATTCTTTCTCTGGGTATCTTTGTCTTACATCTGTCCTTTCCTGTCTTTGCCAGAGTGACGGACACAGACTGTACCTGTTACCTCCATACAGTATGGACCTCAGTGACTGACAGGTATGGTCAGTCTCTCACACACTCACTCACACACACACACACACACACACACACACACACACACACACACACACAGAGGGGGAAAGCAGTAGAGGTTAATACAGACACTTGAAGCTTGACAATAAATTGTCAGCAGCTCTTAATTCAGCGGGGTAGATCCTCGGTCAGGCGGCCGATCCAGCAGATTCCAACAGAATCCTGCAGCAGAATCATAAACGATAGCAGGCAGGAAGGACACATGCCTAAGGAATGAAAATGATACCTGCTAACTGAGTGGAGACCATAACCATACTAACATCATGTGGGATAGGGCGGATAATACTGTTCTGTGCTTTAAATGCCTTCAGCATAGAACACATGCTTTACTGAAGCCCGACTGGGCTCAAGGACAGAACACAGTATCGTGTTTTTTTTGGCAACATTTGTTTTTGTACACAAACACTTTTATTTTGGCAGCGATTCCTCAAATGTGGTTATTAAAGATTGAAGTTATGACAAAAATAAGTGAGGCAACATAATATCCTGCCCTTTGCTGTAAAAGGCGACAGTATCAGTGGAAATCAGATGGCAGTAAACTTTAAACTTTAAACTTTAAACTTGACTGGAAACAATGAATAAAAGTTAATTCATTTTGATTTAAGAAAATTAAGGGTCAGATCAATTACACAAAAATGTTGCCTACAGAACATCTGTACATTACATTTCTTGCAGCTTACAGACCAATGCTGTTTTATTTTGGATAAGCCAGTATCGGCGTGACATTAAATCAGTTGGGCTCTACAGTCTTTACCTTTATCTGTCTTGCCGTCCTCCAACTGTGGGACTTAAAGTGGGTCACTATCTGCTGTTCTGTTTTGACCCAGAAGTTCTCATGTGGTTTCTGGGTCTGTGGGGACCAGACTGCTGCTGGTTCTCATTCCCAGCAGGTAGCTGTTTGCATTTATATGTGAAAAAAACAGAGGGGTTCAGCGGGTTTGTTGGACTGTTGATGTTTTATTTAACTGTGGGTGAAGTGGGGTTGGATGCGTTTGTCACTACAAAACTACTACTGGCCCTGAATGTGGAGCACCGCTGTCAGCTTGAAAATAACAATACTTCATTTCAGTTTCAGCACTATTGTGTTTTACCCTGCAATGAACCAGTATTTGTATCGTATAGTTTCAGTGCGTTTCCCCTGATGCATGCTGGGACAGACCGGATGGAAACTTTCAGTTTCTTCGCAGCAAGTCCATGAGACACCCTGCTGAAAACCTGAGAACCTGATTTAATTTAACCCTGTTTTAAAACATTTCTCCTTCTCATAGGCTACCTAAATATAATGTAGTGTAGGATTTCTTCTTGTTTCTTGTTATTGTTTGTCATTATAATCTAAAAGTATTTTTAGGCATTTTTGAGAGGAAAAAAGCTGTGGAACAACATGCAACAAAGGTCCTCGATCAGACTCAAACCACGGACGGTGATTTTATTGTCAATGACTAGTCGACTAAAGCAAACCAATGTAGTTATGTTATGTTATATTATGTTAATAATTCTTATATTATTAAAATTTGACTCTATTACTTGTCATTTTTGGATGAATTATGAAATACATATATATTATATTATATTTTCTTTTCTTCTATATAATGAATGGTTTAATTTATTGGCCAGATATTAATGGTTAGTCACATTCAGAGGTCATTCTGAGCGGAAATCATAGGAAAATTACTGCAGTCTCTTATGATCTGGGTCCCAGAGTTAAGATCATCAAAGCCTTAAGATGCATTTGGGAAATGAGGCCCTGACGTGTATTCAGTTCCATATTTTATGGCTCTATAAGCCACCATTACATATTTGATATCAGAAGCCGTCTCACCTACGCCTGAACTCTTGTATGCAGCCTTTCACGTTTCTTTCTCCCTTACTCTTCCCCCTGAAACTTTCCCTCTCACCACCCCTTGTCCCCATCCATCCAACCCCCCCACCCCTGAGGTGAAACCTTACTCGTGGATAAATTTAGCAGCAGTGTGACCCAATGTTCACTGACACACTTCTCCACACCTCTGCCTCTCTCACGCTGTTTGTCTCTCTTTTGGCCCATCTCTCCCAGGAGGCCAGTTGCACAGACAGATGGAGGTCTTTAACCTTTACACAAAAACAATGACAAGTTATTGACACTACTGCAACCTTAACATGGTGTTTCATCCTGTG